ACGCCTTCAGTGCAGCTTCAACTTTCCCTTTATTACCACTGACTGTTGTTCATATGGCACTTCTTAAAATTTTTCAATGTCAGTCAATTCTTTTTGGTACAATGATTCTGTGTTTTCTCTCCATCTTCTTTCGACACATCCTGGATTGTTCAACATACTCCCTATGTTGTTGTTGTGTGCCATTGAGTTGTTTTCACGGTCTTCTTTTAATTTTCTTCAGCCTCAATTTGAACTTGCATTTGAGCAATTTTACAGTCTGTTCCACATTGTATCCCTGGCCAGCTGATACTGAGTTTCTCCAATGATTCCTTCCACAGACATAGTCAATACAATTCCTATGCAGTCCATCAGGTGAGGTCCCTGTATAAAGTCATCACTTGTGCTTTTAAAAAAGGTATTTTTTAAATACCTTTAAAGGAAATAAACAACTGAAATACAAAAGTCAATCATTCTACTTTCAGCCTCACTTCTATTGCCAAGTTCATACTTCCAGACTACCATTCCTTCTTCATTGTTTGCAACTTTTATATTCCAGTCAACAATATCATTAATATACCTCGACTACATGTTTGATCAGTTTTGGACTGAAAGATTTGGTAAAAGTTTTCAACTTCTTCCTCTTTGGCTTTTTTGGTAGGAGTGTATATTTGAATCGTCATATTGACAGGTCTTCCTTTTTGGGTAAGGTCTTTTTAACTATGAATGCAACATCATCCTTCTGTTTTTCATTTTCAGTATATACACTTTGTCTGCGGCCTTCAGCCCTGTTTTTAATTGTTTTTGGTCCAACATTCTTCTAGGTCATATAGTCCTGGTCTTTCCACGTGCTGTATGTACAGAGGTAACTTGTGGTTGCTGTGAAGCTGAACACTTTGACACTGATGTGTCAAATGTGATAATGGTTACCCATGGTGGCCAGTATTTGGTGGAACTCCCCGATTGAAAAAAGCTTGGAAGCAGGAGTGGCATCCACTTCCAAAATAGCTTTCCTCTGGAAACCCAATGAACCTGGAGAAAGGATAAAAGGTATACAAGCATTCAGGTCTTCGTTCACAGGGTTGCTATAAGTCGCCTATGAGTCAACAGCACTTAACAACAACAACAACAACAACAGCATAGAGAGAGATCAGTCGGCCTAGGGGACAGAAAGTGATGCTACCAAGCTAAAGGTGAGTGACTTTAATCCGCAGCCCTCAGGTCTGTTTTTAATTGTTTTTCATCCAACATTCTTCTAGGTCATACAGCCTTGGTCTGTCTACTTGCTGTACAGAGGTAACTCATGGTTGCTCTGAATCTGAACACTGTCACTGATGTGTCAAATGTGAAAACGGTTACCAATGATGAACAGTGTTTGGTGGAGCTTCTTGATTAAAACAAGCTTGGAAGAAGGAGTGGCATCCACTTCCAAAATAGCTTGCCTCCAGAAACCCTATGAACCTGGAGAAAGGATGAAAGTTATACAAGTATTTAGGTTCATAGGATCACTTTGAGTTGCCTACAACTCGATGGCACTTAATATAACACTCATATAATTAAAGTGGTAAAGCTAGTCATTACTAATACACTTAATACAACACTCATTAATTAAAGTGGTAAAGCTAGTCATTACTCATTAATAATGCCTAGAATGTCGAGGTTCATGCATTCCATTTCATTTTCACGACTTCTAGTTTTTTCCAACATTCATACATATTATGTTACATGTTCTAATTATTAAAGGATGTTAATAAGAAGTGGACACATGCCTGTCGTACACCCTTCCCAATTTTGAACCATGCAGGGTTTCCTTGCTCTGTTCTGGTGACTGCCTCCTGGTCCAAGTATAGGTTTCTCATTAGCATGATCAAATGTTCTGTGATTCCCATTCTTCTCAGAGTCAGCCACAGTTTGTTATGGTCCACACAGTCAAATGCCTTTGGGAAAAGTGTATGACAGGGATGTGTCCTATCTCCATACCTTTTCAACCTGTATGCAGAGCAGATTATCCAAGACGCTGGGCTCTATGAGGAGAAGTGTGGTGTCAGGGTTGGTGGAAAATCTATCAACAATCTGCGTTATGCAGATGATACAACCCTGTTTGCTGAAACTGAGGAGGACTTGAAGTGCTTGCTGTAGAGGGTCAAGGTCTGCAGCCTTCAATATGGATTGAGGCTCAATATCAAGACAAAGATTCTCACCGCTGGACCAATTGACAGCATCAGGATGGATGGTGAAGAGACTGAAATTGTTAAAAACTTTAGTCTGCTTGGCTACACAGTCAACACTCTTGGTACCAGTAGCCAGGAAATTAAATGACATATTGCCATGGGAAAGTTTGCTGTTAGGGACCTCTCCAGAGTACTGGAGAGCAATGGTGTCACTCTGGAGACTAAGATGTGTCTGATACAGGCCAGGGTCTTTGCAATCACTTGTTATGCGTCAGAGAGTTAGACAGCGACTAGGGAGAATAGAAGGAGAATTGATGCCTTTGAGCTGTGGTGCTGGAGAAGAGTACTGAGGGTGCCATGGACTGCTAGGAAAACAGATTCATCCTGGAGAGGGTTAAACCAGGTAGCTCCTTGGAAGCAAGGATTCTGAGGCTCCATCTAACATACTTTGGTCTAACATACTTTGGACAGACCGGTCCTTGGAGAGGGACATAATGCTTGGGAGGGTGGAGGGAAAGCGCAGAAGGGGAAGACCCTCTATGAGGTAGGTTGATTCAATGACTGGGGTAATTGGGATGGGTGTGTCAGAGGCAGTACAACTGGCACAGCATAGAGCAGGGTTTAAGGCTGTTGTTCATAGGGTCACTGTGAGTCGCAAGCAACTCGACGGCACATAACAACAACAACAACAATAAGAAGAAGATGGCCAATCCTTCTTCCTGTCTTAATCTGTGAGCTCTACTAAATCCAGACTTCCATGGCTGACCCTTTCACACATCAGTGGCATAGCTTTCCGCAACACAGCAATCCACAAGTTAGCTCAATTCAGCAAACTGACAGACAGGTACTTTACTAATTAGAACAATAAATTCTCCAAATACAACAAGTTAACAAATTAGTGTCATACATCTAACAGAATATCAGGCATACAAACATCATATTACTAGATCCGCTGAAGGCTGCACAGATGTGGCAGGGTGTGCTCCTGGGAGGTTCAGGCTGAGACTTGTGTCTGGCATGCTGGGGTAATGTCCCAGATGTGGATATTACAATCACATAGAAGTCTCTGCTGAAACTTTGATGCTGGTGCTTCACAAAAAGCCCAAGGGCCACAGGCCTGAAGGCCCAAAGGGCTGTTGATGAAAATGGCCTGACCTCCAGGTTGAAGATGCTTTAAATAAGAGATCTCACCCACCAATGGACTGCTGATCCATAAAGCCTATCTTATAGGTCACAGCCACTTTACATAAGTCCCCAGCCTCTTATTATGTAATCATCATAATCATGATCACTATCACCATCATCATCTCTGAATGGATACATAAATAGACTGGAAAGCTAAACTTGTATGGGAAGGCAAATGAGATGACACTGAAAAATATACAAGTTTAATAATGGATATGTTGATATGTGAATTTACACATAATGTAAAAATTTTCACAAATATAGCAGAGCATATAGGAGGCAAAGTTATGAAAATGCATTCATAACCAAACACATTAAAGCAAAGACCCTTGTGTACTGGGGATTCAGGGCACAGTCTCAGTGGACAGTGGACATAAAGGTTAACTGGCACAACCTAGTACATAAATAAAATGCTCAATCCACTTCAGTGAGTAGCAATTAGGCTCTTAAAATTTTATGAACAGTCATCTAAGGTATAACTATTGGTTTCTCCTTGAGAGCAAAGAAGAATGAAGAAAATCAGTACTACATGAAAGCAAGGGGCTAAGAGGTCATGAGACTCTCAGATCCTACAATCTTGAGATCAGAACTAGACAGTTCCCATCTACCACTGCTGGTCACCCTGAAAGGAGTTACACCAGAATGTCCTGAATAGAGAGGGGAAACAAATCTAGAACAAAATTCAAAATAATAATAAGACTAGACTTACAGATCCGAGAGACTGGTGTTATTCATGATATTATAGCCTTTAGTCATTCTTCAATTGTAAAACGAAACTTGTTTCCAGGGTTCAATATTCAGATAAAATATACAAATAGGTTTACAAGGTAAGCAGTAATATTAGGGAGCTAGATGTCTCTCAGAAAAATCAATCATTGTAGATTAAAGAGGCAGCCTTTATGCAAAGGCCAAGGGCAAAATCCAGGAAGAAACAGAAGGAAAGGAGGAATGAAAACCGGAAATAAAGAATGGGAATGAGTGGGTACGGCAAACAATGTGACAATACAAAATGCATATGATATGATGAATCGAAAATAGATTTGTTCTGCACACCTTCACCTAAATCACAATTAAAAGGCAAGACAAAACAAATATTCTGTATCTACTGCTCAAAGTAAAACTTAAAACCAAAAGTTACAGAATATGGGAATCACTTTTCTATCTTTGGCTAAAGTTAATTAGTAACAAAGGAAGTCTTATTAATTCAGTTTAGGGGGGAAAAAATGCTTACTCTACACAATCACAACCCAATAAGGGCATGTATTAAAAAACTTCTAAAACGACAAAATATTTTACTGACATTAATTAATAATAGGTATTTACATATAAAAGCATTTTCACATGTTTTTACTTTTATTGGAAAATAAAAACAAAATTAAATAATATACTCAAAGAACATATTGTATAAACAAAGATGCCAGCGATGTAAAAACTGAGCTGTTAGTTTACTGGCAGTATCCCCAAGAACAAGCTAAAATAATCCAATGAAAATTCAATTTTGGAGCATAAAAGTTAGTATGTGGTGTGGATATGCATGTGTCTCACTGCGTCATTGTAAAAGGATAATACACCACATTTATATAGCCAGATATTTAGTAATGTGAAATTACATTTTTAAAAGAAATAAACCCATTAGCATGCAAATGGGGAATATTTTCTCTTAATTACCTCAGTACACTTTACAATCTTCTCATCAGTTTCAAAATCTGTTTCCAGTTTTATTTTTTCACTTGGATATCCTTGTAATGATATTCCATCCACTGAACTGACAACACTACAAAAGAAAATGCAGTAAAATAAAATTACAGAACTGTATTACATAAAATAAATTACAAAACAGAACTGTTAGTGTTACAGTGCTTTTTATAGAATGAGCTATTATTGAAACAAATGTAATGAAAAGTAAAACTATAAACTATAACTTTAAAACAACATGAAGGTACCTTAGATATATACAAAATAATTTGAACTGTAGTTCACACCATTTACCAAGATTTCTTGATTGCGTAGTTATCTTTTTTGTTCATCAACAAATCGTATCTACTTTCTGATATGTCCAATCCAGACTTGAGATTTAAAATACCTTAGATAGTACCCTATCAGAAAAGTACTGCTAGAATTGGTCTATGTAGATGCAAGGAATGTGAAGGAGCATGTCTGACCTCATGGGAATTGGTTCTGTGCTGTGGACACTGTTGATGGGAACTCTTCCCCCTTGTGGAGTTCGTAGAGGCCAGATATGGCTGCCCTATACTGGGTGCATTCTCTTCACATCTCTCAACTTGATTACCCCTTAGTAATTTACAGAACCCTGACCAAAAGAATACAAAAGAATACTTAGGGACATTTATGACCAGAACAGACTGGACTACATTTTTCTAATTGGTACATAACCATTTCAGTTGATGCTCTTTTATAAAATACTTCATTTTATTAACAAAGTTTTTATTCCTCCTTCCAATCAAATCTATTACACTTTTATAATAACAACAACAATAATAATATCAACATCATAAATTATTACCCTTTGTTTCCTTTCTCTTCAGAATCTACCCAGCAGATATCCACATATTCTCTCAGGTCTACTGCATCCACTTTGCCACATGTAATTTTAAAGTCTTTTTGTTCTCGTAGAGCTAGCCGCAAGCCATCCATGGTTTCTGGAGTTATTTGTACCATAAGGCCATCTAGAAATCAAAGTAATGTTTTATATTTCCTTGACTACAAATATGCACAATGAAGCCAAATAATCTACAATCAAAATATATTCTGTGAAAGGTATGTTTTAAGTCATCTGGTAAGTCATGGTAATTACTGTTTTGGACTGGGAAACAATCAATCAATCTGTATTTCAAAATGCTAACAGTTTTTTTAAGGTTACACAAATAAGGGTATGAGTTTCTACTTCTGGTTGTGATGAAGTAACTCTTACCAAACTAGCTCTTTTGTGACAACCAACCATAAAACTTAACAAAATACATGACACAATAGTTTTCAAGTACTAGATAAATAGGCTGAGTAACACTTTGAGTCCTAAGGAGAAGCTCAAGACAAGTACACAATTTCCTGGGTTGTCGGCCTGGTGGTCATTTCCTCACTGTGATCCACAATACTCACAATATCCTTACTGAGCTTAAATATAGAAATGAGAATTTGGGGAAGCAGAAATACTTGACAAGCTGAGGTCAAATCACTGAAGGGGAAGAAACTTCTTAAAAAGGGAATCACAGATTATGGATTAGGGAATCCCTTTTCAGTCTCTGGACTAGACCCAGGGTACAATGGATGGCACTAGATTAAGCTTCATATAGAACAACTATTACAAGGATGTGAGCAGAAAAGAGTTACTAAAAATAAAACAATATATAAGAGATGATGGTGTTCTAGTCCAGCCAAAGTGGAGATATCTTTTTAGCACCTTAACAACATTTTCCTTAAGAAAGGCACAATGAAGACTGAAAAATCTGCAGGCACAACAGTTTGGAAATTGAGTCTTATTACATTAATTGCTGATGGGCAATGGCAAGTTGATTTGACAACAACTCACAGAGACACTTGTTGTTGACTGCCGTCAAGGCGAACACAACTCATAGCAACCCATGAACAAAAGGCCTGAAGCCTTTCTACAACTATCGTCATTTATCAAAATTGATAGTTTCCAGAGGCATGTTGTTTAGGAAGTGGATGCCATCCTTCTTCTATGTACAATAAAACTAAACCTGGCCCTATTTTGCAATATCCTCACAATCTCTTCTGTGTTCAAGACTACTGTTGGAGTCATTTCATTTTGAGGAGAATGTTCTTCTCTTTCACTGACCCACTACTTTTCCAAGAATGATGTCTTTCCATTCCAAGGACTGACATTTAACCATTCCTGCATCCAAGGAACATCCTGTGTTGTAATTCCAAGATAGATTATTTTCCCCCCTTCTGTCAGTCCATGGTATATTCAATACTCTTCACCAATTCCACCATTCAAATGCATCAATTCTTCTTTGCTCTGCCTTAGTCACTGTCAAACTTTCACATACACTTGAAACAACTGAAAATATCATGGTTTGGTCAGCTGCACCTTAGTCTTTGAAATGATGGAATCCTTGCTCTTTAGCATTTATACAGGACCCTGAGAGCAGATCTTACCCAATGCAATAATAAACCATTTGATTTCTTGACTGCTGCTACTATGGATACTGATTATAGATCTAAGTAAAATTAAATCACTGACATTAATCTTTTCTCCATCTATCTTGATAGAGCAGCCTACAGCCCAGCTGTAAGGATTTTTATTTACCTGATGTTAGATGTAACCCATATTGAAGACTACAGCTTTTATCTTCAGTAAAATGGGTCAAGTATTCTTCACTTTTCTGCAAGCCAAGGTACTATGTCTGGTAAAAATTCTGGGCTTTATAAGGACCTAGCCTAAGAAAGAGTAAAACTGTGCCTTCAGAAACTGGTCGCTCCTTGCAGCATGTCCAAAGTAAGTCAGATGAAGCTTCAGAATCCTTGCCTCCAAGGAGCAGCCTGGTTTCACCTTCTCCTGGACGAACCTATTTGTTCTCTTAGCCATCCATGGTGTATTCAGTACTCTTTTCCAACACCATAGCTCAAAGGCATTAATTCTTCTTCTTGGGAGGGTGGAGGGACAGTACAGGAGAGGAAGACCCTCTCTGAGATGGACTGGTTCAGTGACTTGGGTAATGGGGGTAGGTGTGTCGGAGACAGTGAGATTGGCACAAGATAGAGCAGGATTTGGTACATAGGGTCGCTATGAGTCTCAGGTGGGTGACTTGACGGCATGTTACACCACCACCATGACATATATACATATAAACACACACACACACACACACACACACACACACAGGTGTACATATATACATATATGTATGTATGTGTGATTATGCAAGTGTGTGTATATGTACAAATACACTGTGTTATAACGGAAATATACTCCTTTTAAGTAACAAATACATTTTAAATAATTAACAAACAAGTCTACATTAAAACAGTCTTAAACATGAAACTCCTACCTTCAACTATGCTGGACTTAGCAAGGAATCCTGAAGACGACTTGAGAGCTCCATTGAATACTACAAAATTCGCACCTGTCACTGATAAAAAAAAGTATTTCTATTTTAATCTACTACTTTGTTTTTTATTTGGTAAATGCATACTACACAGCATAACTCACTTTAAGTACTTAACTAACATCATGCTCATATGACTTTCATAAAAAAGTAAATCCAAACTCAAAGGAAATTAAAATAAGACTGCATAAAAACCTAGAACAAAACTAAAACAATCCTGACTCATGGTGACCCTCCTTTGCATTTCCAACATTATAAACCTTTATGGGAGGAGACTGCCCACCTATCTCATGAATCAAGTGGATTCAAACTGCTGACTTTTTGATTAGCAGTTCACAATGTCACCAGAGTTGTTTAATTTAATATTTGGGTCTAATTATTATGAATCCTGGTGGCATAGTGTACATAATATTGAGCTGTTAGCCAAAGGGTGGGTAGTAAGAATCCACCAGCTGCTCTGGGGAAGAAATATGGGTAGTCTCCTCCTATAATGGCTTACAGCCTCAAAAACTCAACTGAAGGTCACTAAGAGTGGGACTCAATCTGACAGCTTTTTGATGATCAGATGACATGACAGGTTTTTGGTGAGCTAATAATTGTATTATTTAGAACATTAGAACATTGTCCCTTAGGGTATGAGAAATAAAGCATCTGCTATCAGTAAGAATGGTAATCAGAATAATCTCCATGAAGTTCAGTTTGTCGCTATCTAGTAAAATTATAAGTAACACATTATCCTGTGTTGTAAAAATTTCACCTCTAGGAATTTACCCTACAGAAAATTCAAATGTATGCACAAAGTGATGGTATAAGGTTAGTCACTGCAACATTTTCATAAATACCCAAGGATTGGCAACAACTCTCTCAATAAGGAACAGTTAAATGATATATGCATAAAATGAGAAATGATGTAGCATGATCAAGCGCTTTACATATTGCTGCTGTTGTGCACTACTGCGTTGATCTGGGCCTAGCAACCCTAAAGGAAAAGAGGAGAAGCATCCAACAGGGTTTCTAGGCTGTATTCTTGCTTGTTTGTTTGTTTAAACTTCATTTTATTAATTTTAATGGACATTTACAGAGATTTCGGATTTTCATTCATTCATTGTTGCACTTTTTTCTTTACCCCTCGCCCCCCAGTTTCTAGGCTGTATTCTTTATGGGACCAGACAGTCAGGTCTTTTCTCCTGATGTGTGAAGTCACTGGCACATTAAAACTGCTGAGCTTTCCGTTAACAGCTGAGTGCTCCATGATTAAACTTCTAAGGTTCCTTCCTAAAGTTTATATAGAGAGAGAATAATTTCTACTATCTTCTGATGTGTTAAAGAAAAAATGAGTAAAGAATAGAAAAATTATATATTTATTTACTTATTTTGGTTTAGCTATGATGAAAGTCATACACAATTAAGTACCTGACTAAATAGACAAGTAAGTAAAAACACCTCTAAAAGATTATTTATGAAATTGCTAACACCTTATGATTTACTAGGCCTGAATATCAAAATGAAGAGTCTTCTAAGACTAAAAGAGCACAAAGAGGAACCAAACAAAACCAAGTGCCATCAAGCCCAACTCACCATGACCCTCCCTCAGGTTTCTGAGGTTGTAAATCTTTTATAGGAAGGGACTGCCTATCTTTCTTTCTAAGAATACTTAGTAGATTCAAACATGCCAAAATTAAATAGTCCAACATGGTATACACAAGGGCAGTGCTAACAAAAATAGAAGAAATTTTGTTCTGTATAGCAGAACTTTCAAAGTATATTGTTATTTCATCAATTCAGCAACAAAATCCTATACAAATACTTTATCTCTCTCCTTTTGGAAGGAATGACTATTAATTCATCTGGATTTATGAAGTAGCATTAGGAATCATGTCTTACCTTTCCTAGGATGGCCTGTTGCACTGTTGGCCTGTGTTTGATAAACTCCATCACTCTGTACACAGACTAGATGAGAATCTGCTTCTGTACTAAAACTAGCTCCAATGCTAATGACATGTTCATTGGAAGAATTTATTACTTTCATTACCTGGAAAGAACATTAATTTAGAAATACTATTAACATATTAGGCTTTTACTGGCTACATATAAATTTTTTGCTCATTTTTTTTTATTTTTATTGGTGGTGGTGGTTGTTATGTGCCGTCAAATCGCTTGCGACTCATAGCGACCCTATGTATAAGAGCCCTAAACCCTGCTCTATCCTGTGCCAATCTCACCGTCTCCAACACTCACTCCCAACATCCCAATCACAGAATCGATGCATCTCATCGAGGGTCTTCCTCTCCTGCACCATCCCTCCACCCTCCCAAACATGATGTCCCTCTCCAAGGACCAGTCCCTCCTTGAAACATGCACAATGTATGTCAGACAAAGCTTCAGAATCCTTGAGTCCAAGGAGCAGTCCAGCTTCACCCTCTCCGGGACAAATCTGTTTGTTCTCTTAACAGTTCAAGGTATATTCAACACTCTTCTCCAGCACCACAGCTCAAAGGCATCAAATCTCTTTCTATCATCCCTAGTCACTGTCCAACTCTCCAATGCATGGCACATAATTGCAAAGACTATAACCCAGATCAGGTGCACCTTAGTCTCCAGCCTGATGTCATTGCTCTTCAGTACTCTTGAAAGGTTCCTGACAGCTGATTTTTTCAACGCAATTTGTCTCTTGATTTCCTGGCTGCCGGTACCAAGGTTGTTGACTGTGTAGCCAAGCAAACTATATCAAACTGTTAGCTATCTCAATCTCTTCACCATCCATACTGTTGCTGCCAACCGGCCCAGTGGTGAGAATCTTTGTGTTCTTGATGTTGAGCTTCAATCCATAATGAAGAATGCAGTCCTTGACCTTCTGCAGCAAGTGCTTCAGATCCTCCTGTTTCAGCATGCAGAGTTGTGCCATCTACATAATGCAGGTTGTTGATGATTCTTCCACCAATCCTGAGGCCACATTCCTCCTCATACAGCCCAGCATCTCAGATGATCTGGTCTGCATACAGATTGAAAAAGAATGGAGACAGAATACATCCCTGAAGAACCCCTTTCTTGATTTTGAACCATGTAGTGGTTTGCTCTGTTTTGACGACTCCTTCTTGGTCCAAGTATAGGTTTTGCATAAGCACAAATATTCTGGGATTCCCATTCTTCTCAGAGTCAGACATAGCTTGTTGTGATCCACACAGTCAAATGCCTTTGCATAGTTAATGAAGCACAAACAGACATTCCTCTGGTACTCTCTGCTTTCCACCAAGATTCATCTAACATTAAATGTAATATCCCTAGTATCACAACCTCTTCTAAATCCAGCCTGCATATCTCGTAGTTCTCTAATGACATATTGCTCCAATAGTTTTTGGATAATTTTCAGCAGAATCTTGTTTGTATGTGATATTAATGATATTGTTCGATAATTTCTGCACTTTGTTTGGTCACCTTCCTTTGGAATGGGAACAAATATCTATCTTTTCCAGACAGTTGGCCAGTTGGATGTCCTCCAGATTTCTTGGCACAACTTAGTGAGCACATCCAGGGCAGCATCTTTTTTATTGGTATTGGTATGCATATAATTAATTATTCATTTACAATGTGTGTCATTCATGTACAAAGTGGATTTTGGAGGGTTGGTTTTCTGTGTTTCACACTTTTCTTCACTGACATTCTTTTTCATACAATCATTCCCATACATTGTTTTTATAAATTAACTACCATTGGACTAATGCCCACCATTACCCCATCTGTCTAGATCCCTGCTAAATCTTTCTCATTTCCTTTACTCCCTTTTTCCACCCAGCAAAGTGCAACTCTGTGATATGCCCCCCACCCATCCTTCACCTCTCTGCTCTCACTCCTTTCCTCCTTGAATCCTAATATATGTTTTATAGTTATCCTTCTATTTTTGCAATAATGGTCCTTAGCAGTATTTGTCCTTATGAGACAGAGTTTACTTGGTACAATGCTCTCCAGTCTCTCCCATTCATGTTATTTATATATAATTTTTCCCCCCAAGGGCAAGAGGGAATTTATTTCAGATTCGAATCCAGGCTGCGCTCCAAACCGTACCAATACAGCAGGGAAAATGGCCACAACCTCGATTCTGGGCTGTCCCGTATTTATATATAATTTTTAACAAAAAATATCATTTAATAAGAGTCTAAAGAAATATAATAGTTAACAAATGCTTTCAAAACTAAAACAACAACAACAAAAAAAAAACCCCCAAAAAACCAACTATACTTACATCGTTGTATCTCTTCCGAGGTATTTTTATGCAGCTTTTGCCCATTTCCATATGAATCAATAGCTGATCTATATTATGCAAGGTGTACTGGTAATTTCGAAGATCCTACATAAAACAACCACAATTTCATAAACTTTTAAGTACTATCCATGAGTATGTACCCATTTATTAAATCCTTTTGTTAAGCCTTCCGATATGTAATTATCAAAATGTCATCCATAAAGCCAGTACTAACTTAAGAAAACCAACTTATCTTTCCATATACTCCCACCTGAGTTACAAAGACCATCATTCTTGAGAAAAAAATTCTGTATTACTTAGGAGTGGGCCAACTAGACATCTTCCAAATTTTTATGATAAATGAATGAGGGTACCTAGGGCAAAATCTGTTTGTTTAAGTAACTCAATTGGTAGTCCATCAACTTCTGAAGCCTTTTATTTTTTGCAATGCCTCAGTGTAGCTTGGACTTATTCTTTGAGTCTCACTGGATCCTGATTATATGCTATTTCCTAAAATGGAAATAGTTATACTGTCAACCCAGAGATTTGAGGTTTGAATCTACTGTTGCTCCAAGGGAGAAAGATGGGCAACTTCCTCCTGTGTGATTAACTGTCTCTGAAAACCTGCTGGAGGGTCAGTTACGGGTTGGTTGTTGCTTCTGAAAACTCAATGGAGGGTAAGCTATGAGTCAGTTCTGAGTTGGTACACAATAACAACTGCCCCTTTCAGTATAAACTGATGAGTTTGCTCTGGCAGCTGTTCAGTCTACAAGCTTAAGCTTAATCTCTTTAACTAAAGTTTGAGAAGCTATGTGTCTAGTGCATTCTCTTTCATCTGCACAAAAGACTTTTCCAATATTTTAAGTTTTAGTTTAATTTTTCATAGTCCATCTTTAAATCAATCTCTTTCTTCTTGCATTTTACTCTAAACAGCAAGGAAAAACCATGTGGCCCCTTTACATTCTTGTTTAGAAATCTCCTCAGGCAGATATCCAAGCTCATCACTTTAAGTTTTTCCTTCCTCCAAACACTGGAACAGAGTACCAATATGTGGTCACTGAATAAAAATTACTGCCTTTCCTCCATTTCCCAATCACACGTTCAGGATTTTCTTTCAAAACTTAAGTAGACATACATTCAATGTCCACATTTGTAAACATAGGTTGCTGGTATCATAAGTATTCTCATGGATGACACTTTATACCTCTTTTTACTTCCTTCTGAACACTCATCAGAATTGCCTTTGATGCATGGTAAACAGATGCAAAAGTAGAGTTAGCAAATGTAAGACACTGGTTATAATCTATTATATAGTAATGCAATTAAAAAAAAAATCAAAGCTAAGCCCGGTGCTATTCAGTCAATTCAGACTCATGCTTACCCCATGTGTTTCAGAACAGAACTCTGATCTCTTAGGGAACCCTGGTAGCTTAGTGGGTGAGGAGTTGTGCTGCCAACCCAAAGGCAGGAGTTTTGAATCTATCAGCTGCTCTGAGGGAGAAAGATGGGAAATGTGTGATTTATAGTCTCTGAGACTTGCTGGTGAGTCACTTTTGAGTGAGTTCTGATTCAACTGCATTTAGTAAGTAACTAATATCTTACAAAAACTCATTGTCAGGGCTTTTTACTGGGCAATACTAAATGGATTTAAACAGACAGCCTTTAGATTTATTGCTGTTGTTGCTGTATGTGTTGTGCTGGTACTAACCCGTAGCTGACTCTCCAGTGGTTTTTCACAGGTTTATCACACTGAGGGAGATTGTCTATCCTTCTCCCAAGAAGCAGCTGGTGGATTCAAAGTGCATACCTTTGTTATTATAACAGTTTCTTAACACTAGGCCACCAGGACTGAGCACAAACCATTGAAATGAACCATAAGTCCACTGTCATCAAGTTGGTTCATTAGCAAATAAAAAAAAAGAATTAGGAAAGAACAGAACTGTCCCACAGAATTTCCAAAGCTATAAATCCTAATGGCAGCAGAGTTCCACATCTTTCTCCTGTAGGTTTAATTCTCATCTTTTGGTTGATACCACAATTGCTTTAACCACTGCAGTTCCTTTGTTAGCCATTGCAAGAGCACTCATAT